CTGGGTCTAGGCCTGAAACGTCAGCCTTCCTGCTCCTCTGATGCTGCTTGGCCTGCTGTGTTCATCCAGCTCTACACCTTGTTATCTCTTATTTATAGATATGTTGTTTTCTTCCAAGACCTTAAAGTAAATGGAAGTAGAGCGAATTCCAGAATATGAGGCCTAGGCAAAGGAAGAGTGTGCTGAAGGAAGAAGGACAGGCACAAGAGAATGGAATCAGAGGAAGAAGTTCAAGGCTAGAACTATGGGACATAGTGCAATTACTGAAGGCATGTCAAGGAAGGCTTTAGACAGAAAGATGAAAACGTTAGATTTGTGGAACATGATCTTGATAGTTAGTATATGTCAGCAAGACTTCACATGGGATAGGGGATAAGGATCAGTAAAACTGAAATTGGGAGGAAAACAGTTGTTTGGAGTCAAACAAGAAACAAAGGATGATGGTTATGGTTGTGGAGGTCAATTATCTCTGTCCTCGGAGATGGTCAAGTTAGTGTCCTAGGCCCAATCATCTTCAGTGGCTTCATGAATGATGTTCTCGCAATCAAAAATGTCAGAAGTGGTGATGTTTGCTGATGATTGCACAATGGCGCAGTGGTTAGCACTGCTGCCTCACAGCACCAGGAACCTGGGTTCGATTCCACCCTCAGGTGACTGTGTGGAGTTTGCAAGTTCTCCCTGGGTTTGCTCCGGGTTCCTCCCACAGGCCAAAGATGTGCAGGCAGGGGATTGGCCATGCTAAATTGCCCAGAGTGTTCAGGGATGTGTAGATTAGGTGGGTTATAGGGGGATGGATCTGGGTGGGATGCTCTCAGGGTCGGTGTGGACTTGTTGGGCCGAAGGGCCTGTTTCCACACTGTAGGTTCTATGAATTCAAAATATTTTCTTTCTAGTTGTTGTTTTGTATCTGGATTAAATGTAACTGAGGGCAAAAAACATGAATCATGACAGTTATTTAGATGAACCCTGATGAGACCTTTATTCAAGAATAACTTTACTTAGGTTGGAGCAGAACTGTTGTCCATCATTGCTCGGTGTATTATTTAAATGGAATGAAGCACCATTAGAACAGAAACTCTGCAGAATTGCAGCAATTATTCCTCCTCCACCCAGGCAATCTTACAAGAAAAAAACAGCTCGTTCTATTTGAAAGTACTGCACCAGATTATACAGGGCAACAATATACAGCAGCATAGCTAGAAATATAAAATATGTTGCGTACGTATTTCTGATTCTGGTTGACAGATTTACAGATATGTATTTAACAGTAACTGTATGCTGTGGGAATACTTTTTAAATACAAGGTACTTAATTGAAAGCAGGCTTTTGACTATTTTAAATATGATATCTCAATGGATTTCTTTTATCTTTGCTATTTCATCTTCATATTATTAGAAAGCTCTGCTGCCACTTTATTGAGACTTTCAATTGTTTTTGCATTTATTGGGGAAGTTCTCAATGCTTAGTCGATAGGCTCTAGGTTACCTGTATAATAGACACACTCATCCCATCCAGGCTTTTGCCAGGCTGCATCCCGTGTTTCCTGTCTGGATGCAAGGTCTTTGTAAGCTAGAGTTGATTGGGGACATAAACAGAAAAATCAAATTAAGTATTTTTATTACTCGTCAATTATGATGGGTTTTATTTGGCTAAGGAAGGACAAACTGTTTTCATCAACTGTTGGCAACCAGCAGACACAGATTGAAGGTAATTGCCAAAAGAACTGGAGGGAGATAAGGAGAGTTTTTGTTTTAACAAGGCAAATTCTTAAAATATGAAATGCACCAACTAAAATGGTGTTGGAAGCAGGTTCACTACTAACTTTCAAAAGGGAATTGGATGTATTCTCAAGAAGGAAAGACACGATATGATAAATGATGTAGCATAGAAGGAGATCATTCTATGAATTTATTACAACATTCCAAGGTTTTGCAATGAACAAATAAAGCCCCACGCATTCTATCATGTCTATTTATCATGTAATACTTTAATCACTTAAGTCAGTTTGTGTGACAAATATAATTCTCCACAATCCAAACAGTCAAAATCAATAATTGCACTAACTAGGGACAGATTCATTTGATGGAAAGGATGTTGAGAAATTAAACGTTTGGTTCAATCAGAGCATGAACAATCCACAAGGATGGATACAGTTTTCAATTTATTGCTGTGGTGTTAAAAGAATTTGATGCTTTTTCAACTGATCCACAACTCCAGTTCCGTGCTTGGGTGGCAGATTTAAAATTTAACCTAAACTCTCAAAGATTTTTGGGAAACATCATTTTATTCAACTTACCCCAAAGATGATGCACCACGTATAGGTCACCAACCAGTGAAAAGAATCCACCAACAGCTTCGTTGTTTTCCTGACGGAATCGAATGGCTCGCGCCCTAAGGACATTCAGAAGATTTAAATAGTTTCAAAACGCACTAAAGTTGCAATATCTATTGTCCTGGCCACGTACTAGACAAAGTAAATGCAGGAAGGACATTCCCGATGGTGGTGGAGTCTAGAACCAGGGGTCACCGTCTAAGGATACAGAGTAAAGCATTTAGGACTGAGAGGAGGAGAAATTTATTTCATCAAGAGAGTGGCGAACTTGTGGAATTCTCTGTCGCGGATAGCTGTTGAGGCCAAGAAATTGAATATTTTCAAGAAGAGGTTAGATATAGTTCTTGGGGCTAACGGGATTAACGGGCAGGGGTAGAAAGTGGGAACAGGGCACTGAGATGAAGGATCAATCATAATCGTACTGAATGGCTCAGCAGACACGAAGGGCTGAATAGCTTACTTCTCATCCTATTTTCTATGTACTAATTATTGGCATTTCCTATTGTGAAGAAAAGGGGATGATGTGTTTCTTATTACTTATTTTCAATTAATCTTTATTCACAATGTGTTACATATCACTTCCTATCTATTCTCTTCCTGCTTCAGTGCAAAAAATTGTGATTTAGACAGGAATTGTAAATGAATCATTTCAAATGTCTGGACAAAGTAGTAAGGTAATTAATGTACAATTAAATATAAAGCCAGACAGTAGAGAACAAAGTTTCCAGAGATTGTGCTGATGAAATACATGCATTGGTAAAACTACATTTGCAGTAGTATTAAAAGTTGGGCACCTTGTTGCAAAAATCATATAAAAATATTGGAAAGAGTACAGAAACAAACAGTAATGCCAAATGCATAAAGGATGGGCTAGGATGAAACATGAGAGAAGATCAAACCAAACAGTCTGCATGGATTTTAACAATGTCTCATATGGCAGACTAGAATTACAGGTTTATGAGATCCAGGGGAAAGTGGCATGTTAAATCAAAAATTGACTAGTGGCAGTAAACAGAGGATTATGGACAATGGGTGTCTTTGTGACTGGAGGCTGTTTCCAGTGGGACTCCACAGGGTGACGCACTGGGTAAAAAATGAGTATTTCAAGCTAAACTGGAGAAGGAAGGTTTGTGAACATAAATTTAACTGGAAAAAAAATCACAATAAAATCTTGTTTCTGGACTAATGTTACAGAGATGCAAAATCATGGCGGAGATTCAAAGAGGATGCTGAAATAGGAGACCGATATTATTAAAAGAACAAGGGCTGATGCACTGATTCATTTTTCTCATGCTTTATTTTTCAGTTGTTGAAGATTGGCTTGTGGATGTTCTGGTTTTGGTTGAGGAAGGAAGATGGGAATCAAAACTCTCTGCTCAATAAATTATACTTGATCGAACGTTTTCGATGTAATTTCATTAATATTCATTCACAGGATGTGAATGTTGTTGGTGGAAATCCCTAGTGGCTCTTCAGGATGTGGTGAGGATCAGCCTTCTTGAACCGCTGCAGTCCATGTGGTTCAGTATTCCCACAGCACTGATAGCAAGAGGTTTCGGAATTCTGATCCCATGACAATGAAGGAACGGCGCTATAACTCCAAATCAGGGCACCGTGACTTGGAGGGCAACCTGCAGGTCGAGCTGTTTCCACTTGTCTGTTGTCCTTGTCCTTCTTAATAATAACGGTGCTTTACTGTGCAATCTCAGTGAGTAGCAGCAGTACATCTAATAGGTAGTGCTGCCATGTTGCATGGTGAAGAGTGAATGTTTTATGATAGTGGAAAGGTGTCAATCTAGTAAGCCGCTTTGAATGGAAAGTGTTGAGCTTCCTGATTGTGGCACTCATCCAGACATTTAATACAATATAAAATCAAAGAATTGCAGATGCTGGAAATCTCAACCAAAAACAGAAACCACTGGAGAAACTCAGCATCTCTAGCTGTACCTGTGGAGAGAGAAATAGTCAACATTTTGAATCCAGTACCCTTCTTCAGAATTAGTACAAGTATGCTGCCAATTGTTCCACAATTGGGGTGTAGCGAGTCAAAGGAATTTTGGAGACATAGAAATGCCATCTAAGAAGTAGGTTTTAAGGCAGATTTTGAAGGTGATGAGAGGAAGGAGGGCTTACAGAAGAAGTTTGCTGCTATTGTTAGACAGAGATCTTTAATTTCACATAAGCCTGAACATGTGGTACTCTTAACGGTGTACCCCAAATAATTCACAGTATGAGAGACACTTGGAGATTGAGAACACGTTAATGAGTGGGGGAGCATATCACACTGAACTACCCAACATTGTCAAGGAACACCTGAGAACTTTGAATATTATCAAACCAATGTGATTAGGGTATGTCCTTTTTTCTGGAAATCTCTTTGATCAATACTGATCACATGGCTGTACAAATACAACAGTTACACAAACTCATTGGCTAGCTTTGGTCATGTGACTATACACAATTGTTTGCACCACCTCATTGGTTGATGCCAAGGCCTTGCCTGACATGATTGTTCCAATGGCTGTGGAGGAATAGGATTACAGGCAGGCCAGACAGGTTTAGAATTTTTGCGGCTTTTGTTTCCATCATTTTGGCAGCTGACTCATTCATGAACACTCACAGGAATTTAAGCTTCACGGAGAACTTTAAAGACACTCTCAAAGCGACCTTTCACTGCAGGACTGTACTTTGGCCCAGCTCAGTCTCTGCAGCACCATGCACATAGGAAAAAAACTGTCTGAGCTCCACTATCTAGCCAGCTGCTTGACATGTTTCATTCTGTTCCAGCTGCTTTGCTGTCACTCATTCCTCCCTTTCCCTTCCACTCCTGAACTTGGTCAGGAAAGCTGGCAAATGGGTCTGGACACAGTATGTGTGTTGCTTTGTGGCATGACGTGAAATTTTAAACAGACACACAAGCCAGCTTAGAGAAGGCCACTGACTCAGTTGATGTTATGATTTGTTCAATAAGTCAGCTGATGCGAGTCTGGCAATCGGCAAATCTCTGCCGGTTGAAAAATAATACACAGAAACAGCACAGGTTTTCAAATTAAAAAACTATTTGTTCCACTTTTGGCAAGAGAGAAGTTCGAATATCATAGAATTCCTGCAGCGTGGAAGCCATTTGGCCCATCAAGTTTACACTGACCCTCTGAAGAGCATCCTCGCCAGACCACCCTATCTCTGCAACCCTGCATTTCCCATGGAAAATCCACCTAACCTATACATGTCTGGACTGTGGGAGGAAACCAGAGCACCTGATGGAAACCCACACAGACACGGGGAGAATGTGCAAACTCTATACATACTCAGAATCGAACCCGGGTCCCTGGTGCTGTGAGGCAACAAGGAGCCACCGTACCAACAAAGGGTTTCTTTGTTTTCGTTTTATCAGTGCTGAAGAGATTAGACATTGCAATAAAACCAGATCTTTTTTAAAAACTTTTAATTTCCTTCTATTCGACATACAAGTGTAATATTGTTTCATATCGTGTTAAGGAACTGCAAGAATATATACTTCTTGTTTTTAGTACTGAGAGTAGGTCAGCATCACCTCCTTCGAGATAAACAGGGCTGCCTTCTGTGTTATCTCACATCGTATGGAGGGGTTTCCTGTACAGGCTGGAGCTGTATACCCTTCACTGGTGTCGTATCCTTATGTCTGGAGATGGTGGGGGATCCCCAGCAACAGCTCTCTATGCAGGAGCCCGCCCCTTGACCTTTCAGGACTTGATTGATGTGGAGGGTGTCACACAGAGAATTCCTGTGCCATAGACAGTTCAAGTGGACTTCCAGGCTGTCTGTACTTTTTGTGGCCTTGAGATATCCATGTTGCATGTTTGCATGGAGTGTGCTGTAGTACAGTCCCTTTTTAACCATACGAAAGGGGCTGCTCCTCAGTTTTTGCCTGGACTTCAGCCTCACGCTCCTAATCTACGGCCAAACTGGTGCAGAATGGACGAGCTGACTGTGAAACTGGTTCTGGGCCTGCCAATGGTGGCCACGAACAGCTCCAGGCAGTGGGAGGTTGCTTTACCTGACTGACTACCTGCCTGGTTTCCGTGGTTACATCTACGTTCAGGTGTCTCAGAAGGAAAAGGAGGGCGTGGTGTCCACTGTTATGCGCAGACGTTGGAGATCCGTGTACTGCATTGTCTTCTGAAATCGACAGTCAATATATCAGCACATTGACCATCTCAAATGGTGTGTGCAGAAACTCGGAGGGGCTGCAAGGCCACAAAGCTTAGAGGGAACACTCTGTGACCAATGGGCCCACAACGGCTGGCGTACATCATTAACCTTGGCAATGACATTTTCATTTCAACTTCCTTTAAGATGTGTTTTTTGTTAAAGTGCTGCTTTAAGGGCTGAGTATTAACTCCAGTTTTGAGTTAATTTGATTTCATCATTTTCAACAGACTCAGATCAGTCACTTTATTGTTCTCAAAACAAAAATCAGAAATTGCTGGAGAAACTCGGCATGTCTGGCAGAATCTGTGGAGAGAAAACAGTTAACATTCTGACACCAGTGACCTTTCCTCTGAACTCAGTTGACTCTGCTTTCTCTCCAAAGATGCTGCCAGACCAGCTGAGTTTCTCCAGCAATTGCTTTGTGTTTCGCATCTTCAGCATCCACAAATCTTTGGTTTGCTTTGTTAGAGACAAAAAAAACTACAGTTGCTGGAATCCAAGGTAGACAAACAGGAGGCTGGAAGAACACAGCAGGCCAGGCAGCATCTGGAGGAAAGGAGAAGTGGGTATCACCCGAAACGTTGACTTCTCCTTTCCTCCAGATGCTGCCTGACGTGTTGGGTTTTTCCAGCCTCCTCTTTGTCTACCTTTGTTGCTCTCAACTCCTGTACCATTTCTTATCCAGTATGATTTTCTTTGTAACTACTACTTACTTTCTTGTCCCAAAAGTTGCATTTTTCTACTGAACAGCTATCATCCCCAGAGGAAATACTTTGCAGAGATTGTGAATACCATGGGGATTATTTGTCTATTTGCCCAGCAGCAAAAACATGGCATTTTCCTTAAGAAAAGCACCAGATCTTGCTGA